CACGACACGAATGTGCCTCTAACAAATTAACAATCGAAACAAATCATTTTGGTCATAAATTGGAAAAAACCTCCCGAAACCTCCGATCCTTTTCTCTCTCTCCAATGGCTCTGATGCGAACAAGGAGCCAATTAAACGTATCTTCACTGACCCCACCACCACCACCTCCGTCTCCGATCCCTCGAGCCAGAGGATCTCGTTCCGCAGCGAGCGAGATTCTCACGGAGATCATTGAAAGATCGGTTCAGGTTCCAGAACTCACCCTCCCGGAATCACATTCCGGCGGTGAGTCGTGCGGTTCGCGCCATTTGATCCCGGCGGAGATTGATTTTCGGTTATTAACGTCGAGGAGAGAAGGGTCGGTGGATCGGTTGGTGCGATCGGCGAGGGAGTTCGGGGCGTTTCGCGTGAGCTACCATGGGATATCGAGCGAGGAGTTGAGGTCGCTTGTGAGGGAATCGGGTCGGGTGTTCGGAGTTTTGGAAGGAAGAGACACAGGGTTTCACCGGAGTGTTGTGGGAAACAGAGACGAGATCGTTTGGGTTCGGTCGTGGAAAGAGAGGATGGAATGGGCGCGCGAGTATATCGGACCGGAAAGGTATCGCTGTTTCAGGTATTGGGCCGTTATTGGGCCAAGCTTTTTAATATCTTGGAACCTATTTTTTTGGTTAATAGTGTATTATCATGTAGAGATTTTGATACATGAATGGTTGTATTTCAAACTAGTAACGGAATATAACAGTAGAAGCAGAGAGAAGTAACAATTTTCGAAGCATTAGAGCTATGGGTAACCTAGTTGGCCACAAAAAGTGGGAGAGTCAAATTCACAAGTTTGAATAGTTCGAATCTCGGCAACCGAAGAATTGACTAATTAATTTACCTAGTCTAGTTTTTGGTTCGCAAAGAAGATTAAAGGCCAAATGTTTGGAACATTTATTGATTACTCGGGGAAAAAAAAATATGAAGGCTAAAACCATTTATTTTGCTAAATGAACAAAGTTTTGTTTGAATTTAGCTAGCATGCGATTGATATGTACATGT